AGTGGGTTGGAAGTTTTTCCTTGAGTTTCTGTCAAACAGCTTGTCAAAAAAAAAAGAAAGAAGAAAATGTATCTATCTTAATTTATTTAATTGGCTATCTATATAATGCTCAATAACTAATTATCATTTTAGATATTTTTAGTCATTTCCTTTTAAAGATTAGATTTTTTATTTTTTTTGGAAAATGATTCAGACACTGACACAACCAACAGGTTTATATCACCAGTCGCCATGAAAAGTGGGCATCCATGTAATTGTCTGTGTGAGTTTGTCTGTTAGCAAAATATCTCATCAACCAGTAAAGTTAGTTTTTATTTAATGAAACTCTCACAAAGTAATCAACTGACGTACATCTAACTCAGTCCAAGATGGCCGCCACAGCTTATCAACCTTAGCCAGTATAAAAATGGCGACAACTCTCTTTACCAATGTTTAAAACGTGGTAGTAGTTGAAACGTATTATTACACATCAATCTTAAAACTCTGGCACGCAGAGCAGCAGGTGAAATGCATTCTTTGAAATAATTAGAATAACTGTTGCAGGATGACAGCATGTTTTGCTGTTATTTGTTTCTTTTTGTTTACATACTATGTTTTAAATCATATTTGATGATCTCCGTCATCTCCAGTCAGCTCATGCCACCCCCGCAGCCTCAACAATTATGTTGGACAGAAAAACACTTCACAGCAGCAGGCCTTAAACTCTTAAGTTGGACACAGCAGTAAAGATATTGAGCCACTAAATAGTAAATAATAATAATAATAATAATACAGTAATTAAAAGACGGTATAGAGCCATTTTTTCTGTTTGAAAATAAAGCAGGGCTGGACGGCCTCTGTTACCAGCTTTGAGTGAAAGCAGCGTTGTTGCTGCAGTCCCTCGGCGACAGCGGACTGTTTGCGGAGCCCGCTTCGCCTCTGCTCGACTTCTTAGTGTTTCTGCTCTGAACCGCGACAAGCCAACTCACTGCGGACACAACACGAAAACCCATATCATTGTTAATCTGTGGAGAACAAACACCTTTTTTTTGTTTTCACCTTTTTGTGTTTTGGTTTTTGTTACTTTTTCCCATATTCAGAAACATTTTCCACTTCTCACCTCTGGTTTTGATAATGTCATAATGCTCAGTTTTACTTTTATAGGTCTTTAAATGTTGTTTTTTTCTGAACATTCTGTTCATTTTGTCCCCTAAAACACTTTTATTTGTCCTGCTTTTTGTTTTTTTTTCTCCCCGTTGCAAAATGTTTGGGGTTTCTTTATCAATAAAAGTTAGTTCTGTGTGATAACATTATGAATAATATTGTTAAGAGATAATTCAATTTGAGAAATTGAGTTAAAGCTGTAACCGGGGAAACGTGCGGTCGCCTGCAGATGAGATCGGTTTACCCTTCACAAACATCTCCACACAGCCTCTCTCAGTTTACCTTTTTCTTATTCTGAGGTATTTTTCTTTTAGGGTTGCACTCGTGAAATCTGTTTCTTTCATCAACTCACAATTTTAAAATAATAAAAATGAATACCTTAAAATTACTCTCAGGAGATCTATGACCTGGAGAAAAAAATACAACAGAATGCAAAAAACTTCAATTTTCTTCTCCCTCAATGTTCCTTTTTTATACTTTTTATTCTTGCACTCAAACAAAGCGAGAAGTTTTTGATGTGAGTTTAATTGGATTTTGTGTTTTCAGCTTCCTCCCTTCAGCTCTTATGATAAGTATTTTTTTCTCAAATGTATTATTAGCGTATTACATAAACAACATATTTATTGAAGTATTTATTCAAGAGAAAAATGCTTATTACCCACTACTTTTTATACAGTTTCATCTTATCTTCAAAAGTCATTAAGTTTAAGACTTTTTAGTCAAATTTAGAAAATAATGTTTTACGCCATTGCAGTAAGATCTAATCAAGATCCTATTAATCTATTAGCATTTAGACAAAGTGGAGGGGACAGACTTAAAAGCATTCACACCAAATTGTAGCTTAATATTTCTAAAATTTGATGAGTTAAATAAATTTTTGTGTTAATACCAATCAGCTGTGGTGGCCAACTTGAATTGTATTGACTCCAGAAGGTAAATAGTTGTAGACATAAAACAAATTATTATTATTATTATTTTTGCCGCCTCTCAATGAGAAGGTTGCCAGATCAAATCCCAGCCAGGGGCCATTATGGGTGGAGTTTACATGTTCTGTCCATGCATGAGTGGGTTTTCTCTGGGTACTCTGGTTTCCTCCCCAAAAACATGCATGTTAGACTGATTGGTAACTCTAAATTGTCCCTAGGTGTGAGTGAGAGAGTGAATGGTTGTTTGTCTCATTTGTCTCTATGTGTCCCTGTGATGGACTGGAGACCTATCCAGGGTGTCCCCCACCTCTCACACAGTGACTGCTGGATATGGGCACCAGTGACCCCTGTGACCCAGAAAGGAAGCAGCGGATAAACATAATGGATGGATGGATGATGGACAGACGGATGGATGGATTAAAATGTGTACAGTCATTCATGAGATGTTTTGCCAACAGACAAATAGTTTTGATTCAGTGACTGTCACTGCTCTAAACAGAGATCCTGCACAATCTTAAGAGTGCTCTAAGTATATGCTGCAGCTGACTGTTAGCTATGACCACAACAAATTTTAGTTCTCTGTTTGTAACATTGACAGTGTTGCAGCCTTGTATGTGTTTTCCAAGGTTGATTAGCTGTGGGGGCCGTCTTAAAGTGATGCAACTCCAAAAGAAGTTGTAGACATGAATCCAATGATTACTTTCTGAAAGTTTCATTAAAATTCAGTCCCTGGTTCATAAGATATTTTGTAAACAGAAACTTATAAAAATGTCGCACACAGAAACAATTCTATCGTTGCCCACCTTCCACGTTAGGAGGCAATAATGAAGTCAATATTTTCAAAAATGGTTTTAAAGTTAATAGTTTCTAAAAAAAAAAAAAAAAGAAAGATAATGAAAAATGATTTGAACAAGATTCTTTGTTCAGAAAGGACTTTTTGGGGCATTTAGATATAACTGTCACTTCTGTCAGTGACTGTGACTATCTAACATTATTCTTACTACCACCAGATGAACTTTGCCAAAGCTCTGAACAAACCACTAGAAACGACAGCTGTGACAGCCAACAATACTCCTCAGGAGACTATTCATAATGTAATACGATTTCAACATGTCGCTGAGGAACAGATCCAAGTTTAAACTTGTTATTTCTTCCAGGATAGTCAGCAGATCTACTTAGCCAGATTTTAATTTCTGAGTGACGCTGGGTCGTTAAGTTGAAACAGCACTGACATCAGCACGTTTCAAGGATGAACAGAGTTCTTTTACAAACAAATATCTAAAGTAATCCGTGTAGCAGTCACTTCTGTTGTTTGTTTTCCAGCTAACGGTGTGTACTGCTCAGAGAAAGATGCTGAGCTGGGTGACGCTGACAGCACCATAATGCGATGTGGGCAGAGTTTATCACTGTCAGTGGGGGGCCATTCAGAAGGACTTTATCCTCAGAGTCTTCATAGACCTACGTCTGAGCTCCTTCTGCAGGAAGGACATCAACATGATGCCAGGTAATGTCACTAATATTCATGTTTTAGAGGATTTTTTTTTTTGTCGTCTGCATTCAGATGTATGTTGCTGCTCCCCAAATCTCACAGGTCTCAGAAAAGGTTTGAAATACAATATTTTAACAGGAAGAAACCTCTAGCACAGGGGTCTGCAACCTGCAGCTCAGGGGCCACATGTGGCTCTTTGGTACGTCTACAGCAGCTCTTTCAGGCGTTGACCAAAACTAAAACAAAACTGAATTTGATTTAATTTATTGCCAACAATAAAAATGGCTAGTTTTAGAATATTTCCTGTCATTTTCAAGTATACGAAGGATAGTACAAATACAAGGCGTAAAACGTGGACTACATAGTAGTTTGTTAGCCACTTTAAGTCGACTTCCAGTCTCTGTGTGATCTTTCTCTCAAAACCACCAGAATGTTTTGGAATATCTTTAAGACAAATTACTGAGAAGGATTAATGGTGAGTAACTTCAATAACACTAAGAATAAAACGCAACGAACAAATAAACTGAAGTATTTATTTTTCTTTAAAAATGTTATTGGATATCCAACAAACTGGCCTAATTTTATACTGTTTCTAACTTTATGCTTTAAGTAGGATACGTAATTCTTCAACAATTAGGAGAACTCACATCGGCCTGCAGAGTTAAGTGTTTTAATGTTTATAAAATTCTTAAAATTATACATTTTTTTCTTTCTTTACAGGAATCCGATCTTTTCTTTTCTATTAAAATGTAAAAATATCAATAAATGTTAATAACAGTTAGACATTTTTCATTTTATAATATCACTCCCATTAGCTGGAAAAGCCATCTCCAACAAACTTGTAATGGCCCATGGGCCACCAGTTGACAGTACACAGTTGTAGCAGGTTTTTTTGGCTCCGGACACACAGTAATTAGTAAGCAACGTGGCAAAAATATCTCTTTTCATCACAAAGGTTGCAGACCCCTGGTCTAGCAGATTCAGCCGTCAGTCAGAGTGTGTTTGAGAGGATAGGAAAGCAACAGAAACAAACACAGAAGAATTGGTCCAGGTGGAGTTTTTATGGAAAAAATACAAGTTGATGACGGCAATATTTATGTATAAAACACAAAGAGCAGAGCAAGTAAAGCCAGCAGCAGAGTGAGTAAATGTGCAGCGTACATCCTCCAGTAATCTAAGCCTAAAGTTGCATAACTAAAGGATGCCTTAGGAAACCCAAGCCAACACTAACTTTATGATTTATCAAAAAGTTAAGTCCTAAGTAGACAGGTGTCATCATCACGGACAGAAACTGGAAGCTGGTTCCACAAGAACCTGAAAACTGAAAGCTCTGCTCTCCCATTCTACTTTTAGAGACTGTAGGAACCAAACATAACCCTGCAGTCTGAGAACGTAGTGCTTTGTTAGAAAAGTATTGAACATTATTATTTTTAATACAAAATGGAGTTAGATTGTTGAGAGCTTTGTATGTTAGAAGAACAATTTGATTTTGGCTTTTACGAGAAGCCAGTGGAGAAAAGCTAAAATTAGAGAAATATGATCTCTCCTTTTGACACTCATATAGCGGCAGCATTTTATATCTATTTAAAAAAAACTTTCTAGAATTTTTTGAGGTGTATCCAGATGATAAAGAATTAGTCCAGTGAAGTGAGACATGCATGGGCCAGAGTTTCTGCATCGTTTTGGTGCAATATGTTTCTAATTCTAGTCATATTACACAAATGGAAGAAAGTTGTCCTGGCAACGACATTAGGCATTGCACTCCTTTTTCTCCCCTTTCTTTTGTTCTCAGTCAACTTACAGACATTCATTTCTCTCATTTTAACTCCCAATATTGTCCATCATGCGTGGGGATCATGTCCTTATTAACAGCAATGATGACAAAGTCTGACAGTACCTTTCTCCAGTTTTAGCTGTATCCACCACCATAACCCCCCACCCCCACCCCGCCACCCTCACCCCAACCCCAGTTCTCAGGGGAAGAGACAAAGACGATACCTGCATGAGACAAACTGAAGAAACGAGAGCTCTTCTCACATCACTCAGGGGCTTTAGACAAAATCCATAATGAGCCAACTGACAAAAATGATTATGTCGGAGATCACAGCAATGCATGGAGTAACATGACCTGGGTTCCCCATTCAGCAGGGCAAAGATTCCCACCATAATACACAGTATTGTAAATGGTGACCCTTCATAGGCTGCAATTATGCCACCAAAACAGGTGACTCCTTATTTATCCCCGATGTTGGTTTGGGTTTAACCCCTTTGTGTCATCAAAGCCTGTCAGATGGACACATAAGCCAGTGGCCTATTGGTCTCAGACCTGCCCCCCCCCCCCCCCCCACACACACACACACACCATTCTTAGATTTAAATGCTCATTCATGTCCTGTCACTACAAGCAGATCCGATTCCGTGTTTTATTAAAGCAAATCTGGGTCATAAGCAGTTTATCCAGCCAAGATTATAACATACTTTTTGTGCATCTTTTTGTGTGTATTGTTCTGTTAATCCCTCACTATGAATGTTAAAATTTTGTTGAAGTATTGGAAGAGGAGTAGCATCAGCAAAACTCTTGAGAAGTTCATTTGTGGGAAACATCAACCAATCTGTGTCTGTCAACGAAAACTAAGCTGATAGAGCTCTTTTTGTCTTTGCGTTTTTTTGCTTACAGAAGCGCCTCTTCCTTCCAGAGGGCCCAGCTCGAGGCCTCACCCAGCCTGGACTGCAGCATAAACGGGGCTCGCTCCTGTGCCCCTTACCCAATCAAGCAAGAGAACACAGTGGGTCACAAGATCCCTGGCATCCACGGTACATCTCAGACTGGATTTCATGCCTGTAGGACCGGCCAAGTTTTGGAAGGGTCAAGAGATGAGATGGTTGAAGCGCTGCACGTTAGCTGTAACGGCAATGGCGTATTTGCAGTGAGCTGTGTGTCAGAGGACGCAGTCCAATCTTTTAATAATGAAGGTGGCTCCTCCCCTCTGGCTTTGTCTCCAGCTGGCTCCCATCATTCAGCGCGGCTGCTCGTTGCTAGCAGTGTGAAGAGACGCTGCCTGTCCCTGGCGTCACAGTCCTCCACCGCTGCTGGCACCGGCAGCGTCACTTCTACTGGTTCCCCATCAGCTACTGGCACAGCTTCTGAGGAGATCAATATCACCACAATCATCTGCTCCTCCTCCCAGATGTCGACAGTCGCCTGCGTCAACGAGTTTTGCGCTAACATCTCACCCAGCCACACCAGCGGTGCCGGCTACTCATCCTCTTCCTCCACCTCTTCTATCTCCCCACCCTCTAACTGCTGCCCCCGGGAAGTCCCTCGGAGGCCCCCACCTCATAGGAGCCCCCAGCAGGCCACGCTACAGGAGAGTTGTCAGCTTTCCTCACCTGCCACCTGCCTCTTGTCTCTTTCCTCCTCCTCCTCGTCCTCTTCTTCAGCGTCACTAGTGGAGCCAGAGCCAGGTCCGGGGCAGAGCCTGGGGCTGTGTGAGGAGCAGGTCTCCATGTTCCGGGGCCGTGGGGGTGGAGGAGCTGCCGAGGGTGGAGTGGACGGAGAAAGGAGTTCGGACAGGCTGGGGCTACTGATGACAGCTGGGTCATTGCATTCGGGCCCTGAAGCTGGGTGTTTCCTGGATGAGGGCCAAATATCCAGGGCTGCCCTCAAGCAGGAACCCCTTGATGACTTCTCCCTAAGTGAAGATGAACTCTTTCATCACCACTACCATCATCACCACCATCACTTGGGTGGCCGCATTGGGCACCATCAACATGCTCCCCACCCTCCCCGAGCTGCAATGCCTCCTCCTTATCACTTGCACCAATACCAGGGCTCCAATCAAGTGGAGCTGCTGCAGCGCCAGAACCAGCACATGGCACACACACCCTCATTGGGACTCAAACCAACGTCTGGAGACCTTCCTGCACTACACACAGCTCCAGAACGAGACCAGGTAGGAGGAGGAGGAGCACTGGCAGATAAGCAGGTGTGTCGCTGGATTGACTGCAACGCTGCCTATGAGCAGCAGGAGGAGCTTGTGAGGCACATTGAGAAGGTTCACATCGACCAACGCAAAGGCGAGGACTTTACATGTTTCTGGGCTGGCTGCATCCGCCGCTACAAGCCTTTCAACGCCCGCTACAAGCTGCTCATTCACATGAGAGTTCATTCTGGAGAGAAACCTAATAAGTGCATGGTGAGTCACCATAAACTAACAAATTATAAAGGTCAGAACGTGACAAAAAATAGTTATACAATTAAATCAGAACTTCAGCACATATTCAGTACAGCTGACAATGAGTTGTCTGTCAAAAGATTTCCAGGTGCTTCTTCTTGAAGATATTAGGTTTTAATTATTGATTGATGGAAATGAGATAGGCTCTTGATATTTTTTTCCTAGCATAGCCATGGGAACATTGTTCTCTTGAACGATGCTGTGAGAATGTGCGTGACCCTAAACATTAATTTAATATAACAATATCAAAATAAGTTTTTGAAACATGCTATACATTATAAACAATATATAGCTGCAAAATTGCAGTCATGACTTAATGCTAACATGCCCCCCCCCTCCTTTTTCTCTGGGTTTTAAGTTAATTTTGCACATAATAACAGTGTTGGTTTTTGTTCTTGGTTTATAAAACTCAACTATATATATATATATATATATATGACTTTAACATATGCAGCACAAATTAAATCCTTTCATATTCATTTGTTTTATTTTGCATGCATGCATGTAGTCATTAAGGGGTGCTCAAGCACCCTCCACACCCATATTTCCAACAACAATGTTCCTCAGTGCACTGCTTGTGTAAAAAATATAAAATAGACACTTTAGTTGTGATTATTTCAACATGAATATGTTCACGTGTTTACATGTTTACAACATACGTATGAGATCCCTGTATGTTCAGTTAAACACTTTAAGTGAAACATGCTTAAAAACAAAGGGGAAAAAAACAGCTCTCCTCAATGTTTCACTCAGTATAAATAGTTTTGTGGTTTTATTCTTCACAGGTAGGGCTTCAATTCCAAGAGTCAAATTACCAATCAATGTCAAGCTGTCACCCCCACCCCATGTACTCGGAAAAAACCTCTAAACTCCAGAATGACTTTATCCAAACACACTATTAGTCCACAATTTGTGTAGGGCGAAGCCATGTTTATTTTCACAAGTGCTCCGTTTTTTTGAGAGGGGATTCAGATCGTGAAAAGCCAACACATATGGTTAACATAACCAAACAATGCCTACACTTGATCCTTTTAAATAGGAGCTTTAAATGTTTAGTTGTCCCACAAGTATTAAGTGAATTGGCTTCATATCCAAGCCAAACACGAGGAGAAATGTAGTAGTCTGGAGAAGGGAGCCTCAGAGGGATGTTAGTCTTGCTCAATTCTTGGTTTTACCCAGAGCCCCTGTCAGAAGCAGGGCTCCTCAAATCAAGACATAAATCCCAACACTGACTAATATAAATTCTGAATCTGTGATATGGCTGCTCCCATTTAGTTCTGAGTTCCAGATAGTTTTCTAAATAACTGGCTTTTGAAAGTGAGAGTCGTTTAGTAAAGAGTTGTATTTTGTCACACATGAGTTGTTTCTGATACTCGAGCTGAAAGACAACTTAAAGCAACAGCTCAGATCTTTTCAAGAGGGATTCTGTGGAAAGCTTACGAACAATTCATATCTTGCCTGTTATGAGCAGCCCAAGTTTTCATTCATTCAATCAACCTTTATTTATACAGGTTTATAGAAACATTTTAATTCGGACTGGATTGGTGAGCCCTAACAACCATGAGCAAGATCAAGATCAATATGGATTTTTACCATCTTAAAACAACTCCAGTCTCAAATATTTCATAACTGGACTTGCAAGCATTATTTTATAAACTTTCTCAGTTTCGCATTATAAGCATATTCCAGCCAAAATATTATTACACAGGCTGCAAGTGCTTCAGGTTGCAACAAACGTGCTACAGCTAGCTGTAGATATTTGCACATATCCATTCTGTGCCAACAGCCATATGTGATACTGTACTGCCGTAAAAAAGTTTTAAAGGTAGCTTCAATCACAAATGCCTTTTTGAAATTGGACATATTTATACAGCAGCAATCCTCTTTGTTCTTGGACTCATCGATCTGGTCAGAGCTAAGCTCAGTTTCTCCAAACTGAGCTTGTTTTAAAACCTATCTATCACATGAAACGTCACTTTAAGACTCAAACTCCTCTTATTTTTGCTCCATACTGCCATTTCTTATTCAGTTTTAGGACTGAGTGGCATTTCAACCTTTCACTGGTCCTTGTTGCTGGTATTCTTGCTCTGCGTAGTGTTCAGCAGGTGTGTCTTTACTATGCCAAGGGCCGACATGTAGGTGACAAACAGCAAATCAGTGCTGGTGATGTTTGTTTACACGGTAGAAGTGCACACTCTGAGAAGGTGCAACTCAGCTGAGTTTTTTATAAAGTATGTTTACCATATGTGAACACGAGAACAATTCAGCTCATTGTGGACAAAGCACTGGACTCTGTCTGTGGTGTGAGTCACCGTGAAACTCCGCAACACACCTTCGCCTCCTGATCGCACAAACACGCACAAACACACATGTCACCGCCAAGCAGTTTTGTAAAAATGTCTCCATTGTGTCCTTTGAGTTTCACAGTGCAAAGCATTGATTCTGATACTGTACAGATTTAAGCACCGTAGGTACTCAACACGTTTAGGAAACCCTACGCCTCTGTTTGCATCTTAATCCAAAAGCCTTCATTATTTTCATGATCCCCGATCCTGCTCGTGTTTGTTGTGCTCTCATACAAACAAAGGCACTCAGGTATTAAAGCTATTCATACAGAGGAAGCCGATGAGACGCTCTGTTTTTAGGAATGAACGTTGTAGAAAAACAGAGCTAATCCTTGTATTATCTTTCCAGCAGCAGCAGCAGCTTCCAGCATGCACAGCTCTGCTGACATCCAAACATAACACACCGCTCCCCTCTGCCATCGCTACAAACAGTAAATGTACTCTTTTTTTTTTTTAACAGCTGAGTTGAATTTGCTTCACGCTGTGACTTGGCACAAAAAAGTCATTATCACAACACACACGCTTTGAACCCCGCGTGGGCCTGTCACTCTCTGTACCTGGATAGTATTTTAAGAAAATGTTCTTAAGTAAAGCACCTTTCATGTATAGGGTTAAATTTAAGGCTTCCATGTTTTTCTCTAACTTTTAGAAAGTTTGTTTGGTTCCCCTAACCCCCCCTCGTTCAAAGCTGGGTTGTTGTTCAGGGCAGGCCAGCGCTGAGGGACACAAGAACGTAAAGGAAACAACATAATCTCTCTGCAATATCCTGTTGTGTTTCACATGTTATTTTAGTTTATTACATTTTTTTTCCTTGTGTCTGCGTAAATATTAAAAATATATCCAGCAGGAACAGCCCTGTCATGGTCCTGGACTTTGATATTGCTCCGCTCTATCAGAGGCCAGCCTGGGGGTGGGAGTTTGAAGTGACTGAAGGCTGCACCAGGAGCCATGAACTTCAGAAAATATGTTCCTAAAGCACAGAGGATCAGTGTGAGTGTTTACATGGATGAGAGTGACTTCAGGCGTTTTATTTTTATTTTTTGCTTTTTGCTTGGTTTGACCTGTTTTTGTTAGATCTCTACATAAGATTTGCAAAAGAAACCCTGTTCTTTAAAAGCAAAATGTTAAGGATTGTAGGAGCTGCAGTTCTGTGCTCTTTCTCATCATAGTACATTCCTGGTTCCTCTTGTTGTGTGGACTCATGTATTTTGTGTCTGTTTTCCTGCAGGCGCTCAGGGTCTTTGAATGAATATTATCGTAGAGTTTCTCGTTAGGCCTTTGTCAAAGTGCACACACCTGCAAACAGACAAACACCAACGAGACAACATCTGGAAAATACAAATAAACACAAAGCATAGAATCATGGAAAATATATGTATCACTGTCAAACAAGCAACACGTATATTTAAATTCACGGGAGTGCTTTTTGGAAGAGTTGCTTTGGTGGCAGACATTGAGACATGGAGGCCCCACGTTGCCAGGTTGCTGCCTGTTTTCAGAGATAAATGAACCCTCTTGTGAGCAGAAGATTAAAACATGGCGCTCCATTAGCTAATTAAAACGGGGGTTCAACCCATGAACGAACTTTTCCTCTAAAGGCTACCTGAAACTGGAGCTGGGCTCAGTGTGCAGGTGCAGACTGAAGTTCATATTAAAGCAATAGTTCAGAGCATTTAAAAATGAATCATGTAGCAATTTTATGAAAAAGTAATAGCTAACCTGTTGTAGATAACTCTGAGCATCCTGTTCGGAGAAGTCATTTATGTCTGATCAGACTGATGAGCCAGTGGCTAGTCTGAGCGGGGCTCCAAAGTGGATTGTTGTCATCTTAAAACCACTTCAGTCAAAACTTTTATAGTGCTTCGTATAAATACAATTTAATAAATTGTTACATCACTATCAATTTTAAAAATATGTTCAGAGTTAAACTTTAATTATCCAAACTGTGTCCATTTAAAGAGCTATCTACAACAAGTAGGATATTAAATGTTCATAAACTTTCCACAAAAATTCACTTTTAAAGATCCGAGCTTTTCCATTAAGCGTGTTTGAGTTTCTGCTTTATACTAATTTTAGATAAATATTTGACTAATTTGTTGACAAAAATATTCTACAGAGCACATTTCTTCTGTTTGTCCTCACCATTGTTCAAACATGGCACACGTTGTTGATGGAAACCAGATTAAAAATATAAATAAATCTAGTTCATGTGCAAATTCAATTCTAATTACAGTCAATTTATTTTTATTATAAAATAGCATGTTCAAATACAATACAATATGATATCCTAATCAGTAAAAGTTGAATATCTAAGGAAGCAAGGCCTCATACAGTTAATCTGGCTGCACACACATGGTTGTTTGCATTATAGTGAGAGTAAAGAGCTCGGTTTAGGGCTCATTAACGGTAATCAGAGCCAATAGAAGCAGAGGCCTTGATTCAGCATGTCCGGGTTACTTTACGCTCAGGAAGCAGAGCTCCTGTTAAGCTTGTCTATTGGCTCAAACGCAAAGACTTAATCAGAACCAAATAGGGCCCTGGCTGATATCAACTTTTAGCACTTTAGGGGTTCTGCTTCTCATTAAAGAATTTTAACCATTTTATGAGTTGTTTCCC